CCAATTTTCTAAAGTCCCAATTTCCCAAGGTCCCAATTTTCTAAAGTCCCAATTTCCCAAGTTTCCAATTTTCTAAAGTCCCAATTTCCCAAGGTCCCAAGTTTCCAAGGTCCCAATTTTCTAAAGTCCCAATTTTCCAAGGTCCCAATTTCCCAAGGTTCCAAGTTTCCAAGTTCCCAATTTTCTAAAGTCCCAATTTCCCAAAATCCCAATTTTCTAAAGACCCAATCTTTCAAAATTCGAATTTCCAAAGGTCCCAATTTCCAATAATCTCAAATCCCCAAAGCGCCTACTCACTAAATTCCTAAATCCCCAAATCCCCAAAAGAAAACAAACTCTATGCCCCTCAAGAGAATTGCCCCGTGAAGAATTTGAAAGCACATCGATATCAACAAGGTCTCTAAAAGACTATTTTAGCCGATGCAAGTTTATGCGAATGTAGGTTTCCCGCACGGATTTACAGAAGTACGGCGCCACGACGAAATATCGGCCACGAGTGCAGGGTGGTTACGCACGTAAAATAACGCGCGATGACACGGCGAGAAACATTAACAATGAAATACATGGGAAAAGCTTGGATCAAATCCAAGGAGCTTTCGCCAAATTCTGACTCACTATTAACCCGCAACGCCCGTGAAATAAGATTTTTCCGACCTTGGATAACATTGGCCAACTTTTCTAACGTGGCGCGCCGTCGCCAAAATTGTAGACAACCGCCGGCGAAGAATGCCCCTTTAATGAAGCTGTATTTCAATTAAACGTGGAAGTTCATCTTCTTGGGTGACGTTATTTGGGTTTCTCGTTTAATTCGGTTGCTGGGAAATGGAGGGATGCAGTGTAGGAGTGAATTAGAATTAAATATTGGGATTTGGGACTTTGGAGAGGTGGGTTGTTGGGAAATTGGGACTTTGAGAGATTAGAATATTAGGGGATTGGGACTTTAGAAAATTGGAATTTTGGGAAATTGGGACTTTAGAAAATTAGGACCTTGGGAAATTGGGACTTTGAGAGATTAAAATATTGGGAGATTGGGACCTTGGGAAATTGGGACTTTGAGAGATTGGAATCTTGGGAGATTGGGACTTTAGAAAATTGGGATCTTGGAAAATTGGGACTTCAGAAAATAGGGGCCTTGGGAAATTGGGACTTTGAGAGATTAAAATCTTGGGAGATTGGGACCTTGGGAAATTGGGACTTTGTGAGATTAGAATCTTGGGAGATTGGGACTTTAGAAAATTGGAACCTTGAGAAATTGGGACTTTAGAAAATTGGGACCTTGGGAAATTGGGACTTTGGGAGATTAAAATCTTGGGAAATTGGAACTTTGAGAGATTAGATTCTTGGGAGATTGGGACTTTAGAAAATTGGGATCTTGGAAAATTGGGACTTTAGAAAATTGGGACCTTGGGAAATTGGTACTTTTGGAAATTGGGACCATGGGAAATTGGGACTTTAGAAAATTGAGATTATAGAAATGTGATGATATAGGAATTTGTCTATATACAGATTTGACATAATCCTCATTCACATCCCCAAGCTTTGCACATCTAAGTACAACTATTGTTACAATAATACAATTGTAGATATTCTAGTTTAAACTATTGTGCAGCTGCAGTGGTACACCAATTTATGAACACATTAATTCAGCCATTTATTACTCCAAAGTTTCAGAAAAGCAAACTTTTGATCACTGTTAGAACAATCTCGTACTAACCTACACCTCTACAAAATCACATAAATAATCTTCCACAAATTCCTCTCTATTTTTGATAACAGTAGAAATTATAACAGTACTTGACGTGGAGTTACTGTGGAAAGTTATATTATACTCATCTTTATTCATAACGAAGACCGGACTGTGTGCGAGGATTAAACGATAACCCACTTCACAGTCAAATATTCCTACATGAATCTGCTATTTGTTTTCTACGATCCACCATACATATTTATTAACACGCTATGGTGACAATTGAATGGTGTCAATCAGCTTCTGAATTTGACACTGGGTTTGCTGCACTAAATGACGCATTTCAAATTTTGCATATTATGATATGAGACATTATATGGGAAAATTATTAAAATTTGCTGGGAACTGTTAACTTATGTAAAGAATAAAATTGGGTCCAATTTCTCAAGGGTCCAATTTCCCAAGGGTCCAATTTCCGAAGAGCTTAATTTTCCAAGGGCCCAATTTCCCAAGGTTCCAATTTTCTAAATTTCCAATTTCCCAATGTTCCAATTTTGCAAAGGTCCCAATTTCCCAAGGGCCCAATTTCCCAAGGGCCCAATTTCCCAAGGTCCCAATTTCCCAAGGTTCCAATTTTCTAAAGTCCCAATCTCCCAAAGTTCCAATTTCCCAAGGGCCCAATCTCCCAAGGTTCCAATTTCCCAAGGGCCTAATTTTCTAAAGTCCCAATTTCCCAAGGTTCCAATTTTCTAAAGTCCCAATCTCCCAAAGTTCCAATTTCCCAAGGGCCCAATCTCCCAAGGTTCCAATTTCCCAAGGGCCTAATTTCCCAAGGTTCCAATTTCCCAAGGGCCTAATTTCTCAAGGTCCCAATTTCCCAAGGTTCCAATTTTCTAAATTCCCAATTTCCCAAAGGTCCAATTTCCCAATGTTCCAATTTTGCAAAGGTCCCAATTTCCCAAGGTCCCATTTTTCTAATGTCCCAATTTCCCAAGGTCCTAATTCCCCAAGGTCCCAATTTTCCAAAGTCTCAGTCTTCCAAAATCCCAATTTCCCAAGGGCCCAATTTGTATAGAATAAAAAATAATTACATAAAGTACTTTATATTTCATCTCTTTCGCATTTTGTTATATTTTATCTTTTATCTTTCCATCATTTTCATTCATATTCAAACAAATCTTACTAATTTATCTGTTAAACTCATCAAAAAATAAAATCAGTAAATAACATTTCAGATAACGTTTCAAGTACAGAGTTAATCAAATATGGAGTTGGTCAACTCACCTGAGAGTTCGAATACGATTGCGACTCGCTGCAGTCCAACACTCCATCCTTGACCACGTAGTGTATTAAATCCATGGCTCTCCTCATTTGACAGAAAACGGTGTCTCTGTTCTCCCTAGCAGACGGACATTCCGGATGCCTCAAGCAGGTTTTGCTAGACGTGAGCAGCATCATAGTACTCCGCTCCAGAACTTGGCGAGCTGCGGCCATCTGTGCTCTTCGTCTCTCGTCTTTCAGGTCATTCTAAAAGAAGTTAAGACGTTCTATTCATTTCCTAGAATTTATACTTGTTTTGGTATTGGTAAAATGTTAGTATGATTAAAATTTTAGGAACTCATTTTAGGAACTCATGGTTTTGGGAGAAATTATGGGGTTCGCAAGGTTGATGCTTGGAGACGTGTAGCGAATGTAAATGTGGAATTTTTAAGGTGATAGTTACTCAAGGTTGCAATTTCTCAAGGTGACAATTACTCAAGGTTGCAATTTCTCAAGGTGGCAATTACTCAAGGTTGCAATTTCTCAAGATGACAGTTACTCAAGGTTGCAATTTTTCAAGGTGGCAATTACTCAAGGTTGCAATTTCTCAAGGTGACAATTACTCAAGGTTGCAATTTCCCAAGGTGACAGTTACTCAAGGTTGCAATTTCTCAAGATCCCAATTTCCCAAGGTCCCAATTACCCAAGGTGGCAATTCCCCAGGTTCCAATTTCCCAAGATCCCAAACTTCTGAAAGGCCCAATTTCCCAAGGTCTCAAACCCCCCCGGATCCCAATTTTCTAAAGTCCCAATTCCTTAAGGTCCGAATTTTCTAAAGTTCCAATTTTCCAAGGTCCCAATCTCCCAAGATCCCAATTTTCTAAAGTCCCAATTTCCCAAGGTCCCAATTTTCTAAAGTTCCAATTTCCCGAAGTCCCAGTCTCCCAAGATTCTAATTTTCCGAAGCCCCAATTACTCAAGGTTCCAATTTTCCAGAGTATCAATTTTCCATTATACCAATTTCCCAATTTCCCAATTTTCAAAAGTCCCATATCTCCATAGTCCCAATTTCCCAATTTCCCAAATTCCAAAAGTCCCATAGTCCCAATTTTCCAATTTCCAAAAGTGCCAAATGTCCTCAGTTCCAATTTCCCAATTTCCAAAAGTCCCAAATCTCCACAGTTCCAATTTCCCAATTTCCAAAAGTCCCAAATCTCCATAGTCCCAATTTCCCAATTTCCAAAAGTCCCATATCGTTATAGTCCCAATTTTCCAATTTCCAAAAGTGCCAAATGTCCTCAGTTCCAATTTCCCAATTTCCAAAAGTCCCAAATCTCCACAGTTCCAATTTCCCAATTTCCAAAAGTCCCAAATCTCCATTATTGCAATTTCCCAATTTCCAAAAGGCCCATATCTTGATAGTCCCAATTTCCCAATTTTCCAATTTCCAAAAGTCCCAAATCTCCACAGTTCCAATTTCCAAAAGTCCCCAATCTCCATTATTCCAATTTCCCAATTTCCAAAAGGCCCATATCTCCATAGTCCCAATTTTCCAATTTCCAAAAGTCCCATATCTTAATAGTCCCATATCTTAATAGTTCCACTTTCCCAATTTTCCAATTTCCAATAGTCCCATATCTTAATAGTCCCACTTTCCCAATTTTCCAATTTCCAAAAGTCCCAGATCTCTATTATTCCAATTTCCCAATTTTCCAATTTCCAAAAGTCCCAAATCTCCACTGTCCCAATTTCCAAAAGTCCCAAATCTCCCCATTCCCACTTTCCCAAAGTAAACAACTTAATTACCTGTCGATCGCCAGTTAAGTGAGCCAATTCCACCATCTCCGCGCCGAACTGACTGAAGGCCTTCACGAATTCGGTGAAATTGGAGACGCTCTCAAGGCGACCAAGACTACGAGCGACCTTGTCCTTCGCGAGGAGAAGCTGTTTCACGACGACGATGTCCGCCAACAGAAGAACTCTCGTCACGGAACCAAGAAGGCATCTTGCTGCCCTGACGACAGAGCCTCGATCGGCCAAACTGTCCTCCATCGCGCATTCGCATAGTTTCTCGATCGCCGATCCTGCAATGGAATAATTTTTCCATTAATTACTGCACTTCGATGATAGTGCGTATTAAATGATCGTTAATTTGCACCGCTATCGGTATTCATTAATCTTGTGAACGACTAGGAGCGGATCGATAAATTCTTGACGTTGCTAACATTCCTCTTTAATGGGAATTTCATTCCGATGAGCACGCGTCATATTTTCTCATCTTCTGCATTTTTTTATATAGAAAATATTTTTACGACTGACAATTTTTATGTAAAAATTTGTTCATTTTGTCCGAGTTTATTTGGAGGTTCAAAATGATTGTTATTTTTAATGTTTCTAAAAAAAGTGATAACAATTTTTTTTGAGACTAGAAATTGTAATAAATTATTTTTTAAACGTGGAATGCAAATAATTTTTATTTTAAGAATCAATAATTTATTTTGGAAAAAGTAGTTGCTCCAAGAAATAATTTTTGGAAGAAATTTTTATTTAAATGAAAAATTGTCAGTCATTCAATCTCACAGAAAAAAATTATAAACTTTTTGTTTACTTTCTAAAGTTTCATTTTTCAATTGCATTTTAAATTTATTTTCGACCGATCAATTTTTAAAATTTATTTTGCAGAATTATTTAAATGAAATTCTTTTCGAAAAGAGAACAACGGGACAGTGAACCGCAGATTATATTTTGCATCTTAAAATTGTTGTTATTAAATGCAGAATACATTGCACGCGAATCAATCTCGTAGATACGCACACACTATTTCCGTTCTTTGGATCTCACCGCCATAAAGCCCGTCTGCAATATCATCCTGTCTCGTCAATCGAATTTCCTTTCATCCCATGCAATGAATATTTATCATCTTATGAAACGCGATGAACAATATCAATTGCATTCGATTTTCTCCGCCTATTTTTTCACGCGTCAGACGACGCCCTGTTAACACAGATACTTCAGTGTCCCGGTGAAAATCAGGCGAGACTCGATTTTCAAAATAATTTTACTAATTTTAAGTTTTCACATTTCCCTGTGAGATGAATTATCAAGGACTCAATTTTCCAAGGACCCAATTTTCCGAGGGCCCAATTTCCCAAAGGCCCAATTTTCAGGGGGCCCAATTTTCCAAGGTACTAATTTTTCAAGGTCCCAATTTTCCAAGGTGGCAATTCTCCAAGGTCCCAATTTCTCAAGGTTCCAATTTCCCAAGGTTACAATTTCCCAAGGTCCCAACTTCTCAAGGTTCCAATTTCCCAAGGTCCCACCTTCTCAAGGTTCCAATTTCCCAAGGTTCCAACTTCTCAAGGTTCCAATTTCCCAAGGTTCCAATTTCCCAAGGTTCCAATTTCTGAAGGTCCCAACTTCTCAAGGTTCCAATTTCCGAAGGTCCCAACTTCTCAAGGTTCCAATTTCCCAAGGTTCTAACTTCTCAAGGTCCCAATTTTCCAAGGTCCCAATTTCCCAAGGGCCCAATTTCCCAAGGTTCCAATTTCCCAAGGGCCCATTTACCCAAGGTTCCAATTTCCCAAGGTTCCAATTTTCCAAGGTCTCAACTTTTCAAGGTTCCAATTTCCCAAGGTCCCAATTTCTCAAGGTTCCAATTTCCCAAGGTCCCAATTTCTCAAGGTTCCAATTTCCCAAGGTCCCAATTTCCCAAGGGCCCAATTTCTCAAGGTTCCAATTTTCCAAGGTCCCAATTTCCCAAGGTCCAAATCCTCAAGGTTCCAATTTCCCAAGGTCCCAACTTCTCAAGGTTCCAATTTCCCAAGCTCCCAACTCTTCAAGGTTCTAATTTTCCAAGGTCCCAATTTCCCAAGGACCCAACTTCTCAAGGTTCCAATTGCCAAGCTCCCAACTCTTCAAGGTTTCAATTTTCCAAGGTCCCAACTCCTCAAAGTTCAAATTTCGTAAAGTCCCAATTTTCTTAATTTTCATAATGTTCTTAATTTTCCTAATTTCCCTAATTTTCCCATTTTCCATAATTTTCACAATTTTCACAATTTCCCTAATTTTCCCAATTTTCCTAATTTTCCTTATTTTCCCATTTTCCCTAACTTCCCCAACTTTTCCAATTTTCCCACATTTCTCAATTTATTAAACGTCCATGTCCCAATCACCCTAAAATTCTCAGAGCTCCAAAATCCTAATGTTCGAGCCCCCGCGTCTGGTAAGAAACATAATTGCGAAGGCGTTGACCTCAAGAGAATGAAACGTAACGTAACGCTCCTGCGCGCAGTAAATTCTATTAGAAATTTTACGTGCCATAAAAGCTTGGTGTATCGTGAAAGGGTTCCGGTTTCCCTCCACGGAAGCCATCGCGTCTTTGAACTTTGTCCTCGAGCATTGACTAGGCGAGAAAATTTACGAACGTATGAAGTTCTTAAACTTAAATGATCTCCGGAAAAACTTCCAAACAACCGGAAAATTTATTTCCAACTGGAAAACACCGACGCGTATATAGGCGGAGTAATAAAGGAGGAAAGAACAAGAAAGTTCTTTAATAATAGGATTCCGAAGTTCAATGGCGATCTTAAATTTTTGAAATTAATTATTGCTATCAGTTGTTTAAATAAATTATAGCGATGAATTAAATAATTGAATGGTTAAATAAATTTCATTCGGATGTACATAAAAATATAGCAAGTTTAAAACAAAAATAGTGAAATTATTAAAAATGAAATAAATTAGTAAATTATAAAAAAAATGAAAATTATTAGACAGAGAAATTATAGTAAAAATAGTGAAATTATTTAATAAAATAATTTTGCAATTGCAACCATCTTTGAAGGCTGGTTTTAAACATCCAAATATTTTCTTTTTTAATGCATTATAAAAAAAATAATTTTTACTGTTAAAATTAAATAATAAATAATGTCTGTTAATTATCAAACAAGGTTTGCATGAAATAAAATGCATGAATTGAATTAAATCATACTGGGAAATTTACTCGGGTATAAAACGCAACATTTCAGGAAATGAGAAAAGCGTGGACGGAAACGGAGAACACACACGCAAAGAATACGAGTATTGCAACAAAAATGATACGAAAAGTTATAAAGTGGATTCGAGGATACGTGGTCGAGCTGAATTGGGGTTATACCCGAGATCAGAATCAAACGATTTATGGTGTTCTCTTGTCACCTGCTGGTGACTTTAAACTTTATTTATTGCGCAAGTTGTATACGCGTGTAACGAATCTGAATACATTGTAACTTTGCGAGGGCTAAAAACGGTTTGATCTTTGTTGAGAAAAATTGAGGAGATATTTGCAAATTAGTTTTTGAATGGTTGTAGATAAGAAACCTTTAGGATTTTTCTCGTTTGCTTTTTACGCATTTTTGATTACTGTTTTAGGGTGGGATTTTTGTGATTGTAGATTGGGGTTGTAGTTTCGAAGATGGTTGTTTATAGTTATTTATATGCTTAAATGAGTTTTGTGTTTAATACTGCAGTGTCTGAGTTTTACAATTTTAAAGAAAACCAAATTAAAAAATTTTTAATTCTAAAGATTTCCAAATTAAAAAATTTGAAATTTCAATGAGTTCAAAATTATAAGATTGTGAAGTCCCCAAGAATTTAGCTCCATGTTCCTAAATTCTACCTAATCTTGAAATATCTAGAAATCCTAGAAATATTTCCGAAGACCCAAAATTCTAAAATCGCAAAATTAAGAAAATTCAGAATCCAATCTCAGAGTCCTAAAATTCAAAAACCTCAAAATCTCAGCATTCCACTCTGAAAAATCAAGAAGCATATCATCGCAATTATCCAGCATCATAAATTCCAATAAAAAAATAAAAGCGTAGCGTACTTCAGAAAAACAGAAGAAAAAGTACAGGATTTATGTAGTTGCCTGGGCGAGGGCGATATTAAAGGGAAACGGCTAACGATCATAATTTCGTGGGTTGCTTATTTCGCTGTGTTAATTACACAACAAAAAAAAATACGAAAAAAGTTCTCTTGTTTCTCCAAATAAAAAGTGTAGAATATACGAACGTGTCTCGTTTAATATTAAACTTACAAATGCATAATACGTGCATTAAAAAATTAAAAAAGAAGTTAAATAGTACAGAAAAGATAAAACAAATTAATGTACACAGTCATTTTTTATTTTGATGAAAAGCAATGCAAATTTTAAGAGAACTATGTTAACAAATTTAATATTATTTGATTGTCAATTGGTGAATATAAGTGGAAGGTGTCTAAATGAACTTCAGTTTGAATGATTGGACTTGTTACTTGATAAATGAAACTTGATATTTGAAACTTGATACTTGATACATGAAATCTAATACTTGCAATGTGGAACTTGATACTTGATACATGAAATCTAATACTTGCAATGTGGAACTTGATACTTGATACTTAAAACCTGATACTTGGAACTTGATACCTGATATTTAAAACTTGATATCTGATATCTCAAACCTGATACGTGTAACTTGAAACCTGATATCTGAAACTTGACATTTGATACCTGAAACCTGATACATGCAACTTGAAACCTGATATCTGAAACATGATACTTGACACCCAAAACTTGATACTTGGAACATGAAACTTGATATCTGAAACTTGATACCTGATACCTGATACTGGGAACCTGAAACCTAATATCTGAAACTTGATACCTGATACCTGAAACCTGATACTTAGATCTTGAAACCTGATATCTGAAATATGATACATGATACCTGAAACCTGATACTTGTAACTTGATACGTACTTTACTGTTACATTTTGTTAGTTAGGTTAAATAAAATTATTTTCTGATGCTGTCGTATTACAATTTTTGTACTTTAGAGGTTCGTTGTATGTGTGACGTCAGCAATAGTGATGATTAAAATATAGGTGCAATCATTAAATTCTTGTGTGAATATAAGTGGACTGTATGTAAATGAATTTCGCTTCGAATGACCAGATTTGTTGCTTGAAAATTGAAACTTGATATATGAAACTTGAAACTTGATACTTAAAACTTGGAACCTAATATTCGAAACTTCATACCTGACACCTGAAATCTGATACT